CCCATGCCGTTTTCCGCACTGGTGCGCTCTGCGGCGCGGCGCACCCCCTGGTGCCTCCGGGGGCCCCCACGCTCCCCCATATTTGAGCGCACAGACGTCTCATCGGCGCGAGAGAGTAAAAAACAGATTATGTGCTTCTGTGCGCACTCAAGTCTTTAATCCAAGCGCCTCGCGCCGAGCGACGAGACGTCTTACCTCCTGAGGAGCGAAGGGGGCGGGGTGGCAGGGCTCGGGGTCAAGCAAAGCCGCACCCATATCTCCCCACCGTGCACGCGTCTTCGGTTCCCCCGTGCACGCACCCCGTGGGCAATGCAAACATGCTGGTGAACGGCCACACGCTAGCAGCGATAATGAGAGCCGTTGCGCCTCCTCGCCCGCTCTGTCTTGGCCACCGCCTTGGCTGCCGCCTTCTCCTCCGCCTCGTGCCGCTCAGCCAGCAGCAGAGCGCGGTCACTGCCCGTCACGCGCTCCAAGTAATGCCAACGATAGTAGCGCAGCTGCGGGTGCTTGACGAGGGTCCACGCCAGCCAGAGCTTAGATCGCATCTTGAGCCACGCCTTGCTCCGCTTGCCGCCGGCAGCGGCGTCGGTCTTGTGGTTCAGCAGCATGTCGGAAAACGTGAGCATGATGGGGTTGGACGCCGTCCGCTCGTCCTGGAGGAGGACCGCGATGAAGGAGGCGAAGCAGGCGTCATATGTGTGGCATCCCATCGGGAGCAGCCCCTGATCGACGCGTTGCTGGCCAAGAATGGCGAGGAAAAGCACCCAAAAGACCCGCATGAAGGCCTTGAAGCCGCAGCTGGGGAAGAGCGCGACGGTCTCTGCGAGGCAGAAGAAGCTCCACAGCCGCGGTCGCTTCACCTCGCTCCCGTCGAACATCTGGGGCATGACCACGGCAGAGCGGATTGCGATGTCCCAGATAGTGACCGTGATCCAGGTAACCCAGACGCTGCGCGTGTACACGAACGTGAAGTCGAAGAAGACCTGCGCAAGGATCGGTGTGGAGGCGTGGTGAGCAGTGCAACGGGGAGGCTCCCGTCGCTCTTGCACTCGGCGCGCCTCCCAAGCAAAGATGAGCGCGATGAGCGTCCAGATGAACCACGCGAGGATGAACGACCACGCTGTGCAGGAGATGTACGCGCCAACGAAATAGTAGCTGCGGTAGGGGTGGAAGGCGGCCGCGCGGTTCCTCTCCTCCGACCCCGTGAAGGCGAGTGGGATGCCCAGCCGAACCTTGAGGACGTTGCGACGGTACCCATAGAGGACACTCGGGAAGAAGGACACGGTCCATATCCCGCCAATGACCTCGCCCGCAATCCACGAGCGGTACAAGGCGGGCTTGAGGGTTGTCCAAAACTTGATGGCGTCCTCCTGGTCCGCCTGCAGCGCGAGCAGGGCGCCGTTCACCTCACGGAGGTTTGCAATGGTGGCATTGATCTGCGTGTCCGCAAAATGGTAGAAGAAGTCAAAGATCGAGACGCGCGGCACGATTGCGGTGCAGGACCCCTGAGCGACCTCAAAAAGCGCCTGCGTCATATCGTTTGGCGCCTCCGCCGATCCTTCGCCGCTGAGGGCAGCGCCAAAGGAGGTCACGTTTGTGAGCGCGTGCTGGACGAGCAGGCAGGCGGGCCCGACGTTGGCCTTGATTGACTCGATCGCGTCAGCAAAGGCCGTCATGTTGGACCCAAGCCCGGGGTAGACAACCTCGTCGTAGAACCTGAGCACGGTGGACGTCGTGTTGACCGCGCCGTCGGTGAGCTTCTTTGCCGTCTCGCTCGACTCGATATACGATTGGATCGTGTCCTGCGCCTCCTCGTTGCCCCACTGTGCGAGGATAACGACGATGACCAAGAAGAGGCCGGCCGTCAGGAAGGCGGTCCAGACAATGGCTGGGATGCGCACGAGGCGGCGGCTGAGCTCGTCGGCAAAGACGCACTTTCGGTCGGCGAACCATGCGCGATCCAGGCTCTGGAGCATGCCCTCCGGCTTGAGGCGGCGGAGCATGTCGCGCCGCCCGCCGCGGCGAGCAAGCGCCTCGTCCGCAGGCGCGATGGGCTGTCTCTCGGCGGCGTCGGCGCTGTGCCTCAGGTCTTTCCCCGTCGTCCGATCCTCCAGTTGCAGGTACCGCTCCAGCACCTTGTGCTCCCCGAGCCGGTGCGGCAGCCGCAGGTATGTATAAAGCCTGGCTGCCTGGAGCTTGTTGGACCAGTAGGACCGCTGCGGCGCCCCGCGCAGGGCCGCGGCCAGGTTGTAGCCGACCAGCACGGCGGCAAACATGGTGGGGACGAGCAGGAACCAGTAGGAGAGGAAGAATTTCAGGTCGTTATTGAGGAGCGTCTCTAGGTCGGTCGAGTAGCCCGCAATGCCTGGGAAGGCGCAGCAGAAGCCCACCCAGATCAAGAAGCAGAGTGAGCCTGCGACCTGCCACCGCGGCGACACATCGATATGGTTGTGACCCCACGCCGGAATCGTGGCTGCCGTGTACAGCACCATGAGCAGGATGGTGGTCGCCGTCGTGAAGATGGAGCTCATCGTGCCAGAATCGTCGCCCACGTCCTCGTCCCACAGCTCCGTCCAGTAGGTGCTGAAGCCGGTGTAGAGCTCGAAGTAGATCCACAGGGCGGACGTCAGGAACATCGAGTACATGGCGATGCAGAGCGGGAAGGACTGGACCTTGTCTGCGTGGAAGCCCATCGTCTCGCAGCACTGCCCGATGTACTCGCTCAAGCTCGCGCCGCACGAGTTCGTGGGCGCCCGGAGCTTGCCACACGCTCGCGGCATGTCGCCGCCGAGTCGACCCTCACCCGTGAGCACCCGTCGTCCCTTTGCATAGTAGCGAGCTGACTCAGGGAGGAGGTCCGCCTCACCCCCGCCGCGAGAGCGGAAGAAGCCGCCGTAGAGCAGCCGCTGCCACCAGCTCGTGACCCGCACCGAGGCCTCGACCCGCTCGTACAGCGCGGGGTCCGGATCCGGCAATATCTCGACGGGGTCGGTGCCGTCCGCGTACTCGAGGACGATCGCCGACGCCATATGTGTTGGAACCCGGCGGGTTGATATTCGTAACGAATACGCGCGGCGGGCGATTATGCACTCCAAGTGCTCCAAGTGCATGCCTTTGTTTGCGACTTTGCGAGGCGGTGAGCCGGTGACGTGGAGCTCGGGACACGCCGGCCGCGCCCACCCCCCCACCACCCCCCACAAAAGGAGAGGATCAGAAGCTGTGTGTGACTTCCTCACGAGACTGGCTGGCGGAACGGACGGAAATTCCATCCTCGCTGGGTGCGTGGGTGGGAGCTAGGGTGGGAGGGGTGGAGGTAGGAAGGAGCGTAGGACGTAGGAGGAACGGCACAACCTGGGCTGGCTGCCAAAAAACAGAGATCGCGGTAGGCCCGTGGCCCGTGCGCCGAGGGCCGAGGGGGGGATGGGAGAAGGACGGCACAGGCCGCTGAGGTGAAGAGGATGTAGATAGAATGTAGAGCACTGAGCTGTAGACACAGATGTAGAGCGCTTTCGCGCTGTAGCGCGCTACGGTGTCCAAAGAGAAATTTCCGCTCCGGTGTCCAAAAGAGCGATAACGGATATTTTAGGTTCCTCGGGCCCCTTTAGCGCTTTAGGGGGGCAAACCCTGCCCGGCCCCTAGAACCCGTGTGGCCTAGGGCATCAGAAGGGACCAAGAGGAGTCCAATCTGAGCCATAGAGCCCATGTCTTTGCCCCCGAAGGTCGCGTTCAAATGCCCGGAACGGACGTTACAGTGGTGTCCGGCCGGCGCGATCACCGCGAGCTGTGACGCTCAGGGAAGCCGGTTGAGGTACTGGTTTCTTTGCCCAGGCCCTGGCCTACGACCCATGCTGGATCGGCTGAGCAAGGTTTGGGGAGAATCCCCCAAGCCCCATTCAGATCTTCAGATATTTTGACAACGACCGAAAATGGGCAAAAACGGGGTGATTTTGGTCGTGAAAACAAGAATTCTTCCAGCCCGCTCTCATCATGCAGAAGATCACTGGACGGTAGAGCCGAATCTGGGGAATAAAAAAATTCGAGCTGAGACGATTATTTATTTCATGTGACATGCACAAAACCTGACAAAATCTCTCTCAAAACCTGGGACTTGTTTTGTATCCGCTTTCTCTCTTTCGACACCGATATCGTTCAAGGAGGAGGACCTGTGCGTTCGCCGTTGTTTCTTGAAACCATCACTGTGTCGCGCAATAACATCACACCCCTCGATAGCCATCTTCGCCGAAGAAGATGCACTTCGATAGCGGCATTCGAGAAACAACTCAAATCTTTGTAAAAAGAAAGAAAGAAAGAAAACAGACAACCCAAGGGAGGGATGGGAGGACGGCACGCCGCCACCACACAGGGATTTTAAGGAGAGGTGTGTGATGCGCTAGCCGTCGCCCACCCTGAGGAGTCTGCCTCTTCCTATCTCTCAAATCTTTTCTCTCAAATCTTTGAATTTAAAAAAGAAAACAGACAACCCAAGGGACGGCACGCCGCCACCACACAGGGTAGGAGGCAGGTGGTGGGTTTGAGTGTCGTGAGTGCTTGCAGCCCCCGCGAGTACAGCACCGTTTGTGACTCCCATGGATGCAGTTGGGTGGGGCACGGTGCTGGGGGGCGGTCCGGTGCGCCACAACAGCCTCCCTGGCTGACCCCCATCCAGTTCGTAGTTCGACACCCTCTCTTCTACGTCAGTATCCTGACCGTGGAACCCCAACTTCAACCGGTCATATCTCGGGCGGACTGGCACCTCAGGAGCTCATCCTGGGCGGTTTGGGCTTGGGGGTGTACTCGAAGGTGGGAAAAAGAGTTTTGCGCGAGATCTTAACCGGGGGGCAGTCTGAGCACCGTGAAAACAGCGGCCCACAGCTTAGTTCGCCACACGCTGCATTTCAGCGCCCGCTCTCCTGGTACGAGCTGCGCTTCCCGCAAACCGCCTCAAAGTTGTCAAGACGAGGCGCTCGCTGCAGTGGTTGATTGGCGGCCGGAGGAGGGAGATGTCGACCACTGGTGCTCTCATCTTACGGCTGTCGGACGACCTGGTCCTCCACGTCTTCAGCTTTCTGCGCGCTGAGATGCTGGCGCGAGTCTGTGCGCTCAGCAGGCGGATGTGTGCCATCGCATCGGAAGACCTGCTGTGGTATGGGCTGCTCTGCGAGGAGCTGGGCCACGGCCGGCTGCCCGGCCCATCCATGTCCCACGTCGTGGGCGAGTGGAGGCGCCGCTGGATCGCCTGGCGCCGGCTCGAGGTCGTTGGCTGCGAGACCCGCTCTGTGCAGGGCGAGGAGGAGGAGGTCCCGCAGGCGAGCCACGCCCCCAGCCCCTCCTAGCCCCAGCGTGCGCGCGAGCCGCCGCCCGCCCGCCCGCTGCACCCCGCTGGGCCCGTTCTGCTGCTTGCGCCGCGCCGCTCCCCCCCTCGCCGGCCCACCACCCCAACTCAATCAGACACGCTGCGAGAGGCTTGCCTCTGACGACCCCCCGCGCGCCGGCGCAGGCACGCTTCCTCCACCGCGCGGCTTGCCCGACCGGACGCCTCATGTACGTCTTCGGCGGCCAGGGCGAGGCTGGCGAGTTCAACGACATGTGGGTTCTCGACAAGCGCGTCGCCCTCTCCGAGGCGACGGCGCCAGGCTCGCCTCCGCGGGCGCGGCGGCGGGCGTGGCGGCGGGTGGAGGTGCCG